GCGCCCCCACCCCTAACTGCCACTGTGCCCCCGCCCCTAACCTACTGCTGTCCTCCTGGTTGCTGTCTCCCCAGCCCTAACCTGCCACTGCCCCCTCCTGCCCGCAATCTGCTGCTGTGCTCCTGCCCAGACTGGATGCCCTACAGGCCCTGGTCATGTGTGACCCTGGAGGGCCCTGGAGCCCCATTCTGCTGCCCTGCAGTGAGGCATGCAGGGGGCGGGGTGCGCCAGGCACAGGGTATGCTGGGGCCTTCGGAGGTGCCCGCTGTGCCTGGAGGAGGAAGATCTCCTGGCCCAGGAGCTCCTGCTGCCTGGGCCGGCCTGAAGCCCCAGGAGGTGGCAGGGCCCTGCAGCCCCCGGACGGTGCAAGCCCAAGTGCGGTCTTCAAGACTCACCCTGTTCCCTGAGCAGAAGTCAGAACAGACACCCTGAGGGAACTGCCGTGAGGTCAGCCTGCCTGGCGGTGTGTCTGGAGCCCGCGCTCCCCTCAGCTGGGCGTGTGGACAGTTAGGCAGCAGGAGACGGCCCCCACGCACCACACCTGCTGAGCCCGCTCTGGGCTCCAGGAGCACAGAAGGCTGTGGGGAGCTATGAGCCCGCGAGGGGACGCCCCACAGCATGCTCTGCAGAGCAGGACACTGTCTCCTCACTCCAGAGGGATTTCAGAATCCCCGCATGCTGGCCAGACCCCAAATACCCCCCAAGGGGTCTGGCCTGTCCCCACCACTGGCTGAGAGGACAGTGTTCATGCAGCTGGCATTGGCCTCTCTGGTAGGCAGCTGTGGCCCAGGGGTGTCTCCCAGTGCAAGAGTCTGGTTTTAACCTCACATCAGCACCCTAGACCCCGCAGGATCTGGGGGTACAGCAGAGAGGAGAACCAGGGTTCACGGAAGGCAGAAACTGCCACCCCTACCCAGACCTGCTCCGTGCAAGGAAGCAGAGCTCGGGCCTCCCTGGGGCGGGGCCTAGGATGTCGGGGAGGCATCTGGATTCTCCGGGGGCTCTTCCTGGCCTTGCTGGCACCTTGAGCTGACCCGACGTGCAGGGCTTGGCCCTTGGGAGGCTGGGCACCTCGCTGTCTCTCCATGCCCCAGGCCTGATGCTGCAGTACTGAGGCCAGCGGGCAGGTGGCAGTGCAGGGCCAGCAAACTGCCCGTCCAGGCAGAGCTGCTTCCACCCAGGAGCAGACCGGCCCCACCTGGAACCCACACCAGGCGCCCCCGGTTGGCATTCACCCTGCAGCCTCCCAGGGTCCCAGGGACCTCCCTCAGCTGCTACCAGGCCAGTGTTACTTGGGGACAGACCACCCATCTCCATGCCCAGAGCTCATGCTAGTTGATACCTCTGGTCTCTGCCCAGGGCCCGCGGCCCAGACCCACCCAGGTGTAGGGGGAGCCCACACCTCTGGGGTCTTTGGAGGGTCTAGTGGTCTCCCAGCAGCCACCAGCCAGTCCTCCACCCCCACCCCACAGACCTCGGCCTCTCTGTTTTACTTTCACCCCAACCCGCCGCTCCCTGGAGAACCACCTACACCTCGACACCCAGGTGGTGCATCAGCTCCCCTAAGTCACTACCCGACCTCCCAGGGTTGTTCCACTGCAAACCGCCCGTATCTGGGCTAGACAGGACTCTGGGCGGAGCTTCTGTCTCCTCCCGACCCTGTCTTCCCTGTACCTCCCCAGCAGCCGGCCTCACTGCCACAGCAAGCGTCATGTGTTAGGAGGTGGGAGTGGGTTAGGGCCACGTTCTCGGGCCCCTGGTGGGGTCCGTGTTTCCAGCGTCACGTGTTAGGAGGTGGAACAGGTGTGCCAGCCAGGTGTGCCCAGGCTGAGGTTCTGTTCATGTGCACTGCAGGGAGGGAGAGACGACCCGGTTGGGGACAGAAGGTTTGCAGGGGTAGTGGGGGGCTTCAGGGATGCAAGCCTAAGTTTGGACCTCGGCAGGGAGGTGGAGACCTGCTACCGCGAGTTAACGTGTAGGACGCAGCAGCTGTGATTCATTGCCCTGTGTTAGGAGGCCGGGGACTTAATCCGATTATGGGACTAGGCGGTAGTCCTATGCTGGGTAGGTTATCAGCATGGAGCCCCGTGACTGAGCCCTGGGCTGGGGGGGCGGGGCCGATGTGCTCTGTCTCGCCACGTGGGCCCACCGCCATGTTACCCACACTGCTAGACCCGGCCCCCTGACCTTGGGCCGCAGCTCGTGAGCTGAGCAGCTCTGAGGTTCTCCACTGTCCCGAGCGTGCTGGGTCAGCACACAGCAGAGCGGGATGGACAGACCAGGCCCATCTGCAGGCACAGAGGGTGACACACGCCTCTCCCATGGCGAGCCCCTCCACGGGCATCGTCGAGGTCCTGCCTACCACGTTCCAGGCCCTGTGCGTCTGGTGCGGGGAGAGGCCAGGATGGACCGTTGGCAAGCTGCCCCCGGGGCTCCAGGCCCTGTTCAGGGAGCCAGTCACAGGGCTGGGACGGGATCTAGACAGAGCTGGCCACTCCCCCGCCAGTCTGCAGGCCTGGCGGTGCTCCATGAGCAGCTGCCCTTGTCTCCACGTCTCCATCCTCCCTGGCTGGGCCAGGTCCAGCGCCAGCAGGAACAGCAGCCGCCACCCGCCTTTAGACAGTCTTGAGCCCACCAGGTGCCAGTGGGAACCCAGCTGGGCTCTCCAGGCTCTGGGGGGGCCGCGCATCATCTGCACCCCGGGAGGCAGGTCTGAGATGGAGCTGGGGAGGAGGGTTATCCGAGTGATGCCCGTCAAGGATAGAGGCAGAGGGGGCGGGCGGGGGTGCTCTAACCGCCATGGGGGACGGAGCCCATGTGGACTCCAGAGACTACCCAGGGCACCTCTGTGGGCCCTGGACTCACCAGCACCATAATGACCTGTCAGGACACCCAATCTGTTTGCCTTCGAGGCTGAGACAGAAAGTGCCCGGCGTTGAGTCTGACCGGGAGCGCAGAGCTGCAGCCCACAGCTGCATGGTCACTCAGACAGTCAGCTTGTGTCCTGCCTGCCCCCCGGGCCAGCGAGGCTCAAGATTTGTCCTCTCGTGGGTGCAAACCTGTCCGGCCTCTGCTTATCCCCTCCAGGGGGTCACCTAGCCAGGGATTGGGGCTGAGTGATTAAGGTGTTGAGGACCGGGCCGGCCGGTGGTGTGAAGGCAGCTGGACCCCATGTGGCCCACTGCAGTTCCAGCTCAGAGCCTGGTGGCTTGAAAACGGCTGGATGTATTGGTGTGGCCATCCCTCCTGGGGGCGCTTTCTTGCCTTTCCTCTCACTCTCCTTCTCTCTGGCAGGCATACGTACTCTGACAAATTTTTTTTTAAAGTGCTGGGCCAGCAGGTGGCATGGTGGTTAGGGTGCCGGACTCCCACATGGCTGGCTGAGGTTTGAGACCCGGACCTGGTGACTTGAAACTCATGCCCGGCGTGTGTGTGCCCGAAATCCCGAGACGAGAATATAGAAGGCATTGCGGCCAGGCCATCCCCCAGGGGGGTTCTCACTTTCTCTGCCTCTTCAGTGAGCACAGGCACCCATAACAAAAATCTCTAAAAAAAAGAGCAAAGAATAAGAGAGAGTGCTGAGGCTCCTGGGCTCAGACCCTGGCCCTGCCTAGTGCTAGCCGTGTGACCGTGGGCCTATTGCTTGGCCTCTCCGTGCCTCACTCGCTCTTCTGTAAAATGGAGACACAGTGGTACCTGCTCAGCGGGTCGGCTGAGGAAGCGTGCAGTAGCGGGGGCTGCACCGGCGAGCCCCACTTGGGTCTACACACAGCCAGGCTGGGTTTGCACCTCAGGAGGCCACTGACCCAGTACTCCTGCCACCCACCCTCAGAGCATCTGTCCAGCCCAGCCCAGAGCTAACTCCAGGGGGACTTCTCGACCCATTGAGAATGCTATCCAGGGGCCACCGAGCGTCCCTTAAGGTACTCGTGACCCGGCCGCAGAGGCTGCTGTGAGGACGAGAGGACACGCAGGCCGTAGGTAGGTCCCAGCGGCCCCCCGGGGCTGCTCAGGGACCTGTGGGTGCTGAGAATGCCGGCCTCCTCTGGAGGGCCTAGGCCTCTGTATTTATGGGCCGGGTCTCAAGTGCAGAACTGAGGCTGGCCATGGGCAGGGGTGAAGCTTCCCCCTGCCTCTCCGAGGGGAGGCTGGGTCCCCTGGAAACTGCGCTGGGCAGGACCGCACAGTGGGCCCAGAACCCCCCGAGGGATCCGAGGGCCTCAGAAACAGAAGAGGAAGGCCCCTGGGCTTGCACATTTTATTACAAGAACCAACTGCTTGCTTCCCTTGTCATCAGAAAGCACCACTGTCTGTGAGACACAACCCAGCCGCTGCCTCTCCTGGAAACGAGCCCAGGGCGCCCCTCCTCACCCACTGGGGGCAGCTGCAGCCCCAGAGAGCCCGCCCTCCTCTCCTGGCGGTCACCAGGCAGGGCAGGGCAGGCAGATCCCCACTGCTGGGTGCGCTCAGGCCTGAGAGGGAGGATGGTCCCTGGAGGCATCTCCACGCCACAGCATGGGCTTCTGGAGGGTCAGCTGGGCTGCAGGCAGTGCCAGGCTGCAGGGGCCCCAGCGCCCAGCGTACCCTGGCTGGTCTCAGGGGACCCAGGCAGAGTCCCCCATCCCACTGGCCTCTCCGTCCCCACGCCAGGCAGGCGAGGCAAGCTTGCAGCACCAGGAGGGCGTGTGGTCTCTACTCTATGGGCCACATGCGGGGACGGGGACCGAGGAGGGCAGCCAGCGCGTGGCATCCCTCCAAGCTGACAGCTGCACTCCAAGCCCGTGAGTCCAGGCCCCGCCTCCTGCAGGTGGCTGTGGCATCCCTGACCTCCAGGGCCTCCCCTTCGCACTGGGCACGAAGGCCACGGCCGGGACGGGGACACCCTGCGGGTGATGACCTGGGCTCAAAGCCTCCACTGCCTCTCCGAGGGGAGGCTGGGTCCCCTGGAAACTGCGCTGGGCAGGACCGCACAGCGGGCCCAGAACCCCAGGCTACAGGAGACCTGAGCAGAGCCCCGACCCAGCCTAGTAAGCAGCCCCGGGGCATCAGTGTCGGGCCTTGCCCAACCTCCGGGCCCAGGGGGTTCGGAGGCGGCTCTGCCTGGCCTCCCCTGGACCCAGTGGGTGCCTCTGGCTCTCAGCCTGAGCCGCGCACACGGGAAGGCCCTTCTCGAACGCTCCTCCCAGGGCCCCCACCCCACCCCGCTTCCTTCAGGCTGGGAGGTCCAGGACAGACCCACGGAGCTGCAGCGGCCCCTCCGAGCTGGGAGGTCCTGCAGCGCTCGGCCCTTCCCGGCTTCAGAAGCCCCCACAGACACGCTCCTCTCTCCCTCCAGGCGGTGCCCCCCACAGCGGTGTCCCCGGAATCGGTGCGCTGATCGGGTGCTCCACACCGACGGGGTGACAGGTGGCCGGCTTGCGGGCAGGGTGGGCGGCAGGGCAGCCTCGGTCCACATCGCTCTCCCGGCCGCCTCCCAGCCTCCCTCCTGCCAGGTGCCGGCCGAGTCTATGAGGCCCATCCTCCAGCCCATCGCCGCCGGGCCGGCCCCAGGTGTTACGGCGTGGCAGCGGGGCCCAGGAGGTGGGGGCCGGGCGCCTGGCACAGCTGCAGCTCCACGCGGGAGGAGGACCAGCGGCCGGG